GTATCAAGGCAGGCATTCTTGAAAATAGTATTTTAGAAAGGCAAGTTGACTAATCCCAACCACCAAGAGCACATAAAGCAGGAATCAAGCTATTTAATCCCCGCTGGAATAATTCCCAGGGCTGTGCCCCAGCACCTGCACTGAGTTCCATGTTTGTTAGCTCAGTGGCTTTCCTCTAACCCCAGCACAGGTGCTGTTAAATGCCCAGCTGAGACAAACAATTGCACCAACAGAAGACAAAACCTGGTTATTTTTGCAGTGCAAAGTCCCTGCACAACGTGCCTTGCAGCAGGACACACAACTGCAGAACGCTGAGAGAGCATGGGGCAGACTCTGGCTATGTCCTGCCCATCAAGGGAGGGCAATGCACACAAAGCCAGCAGCACTCACCTCCCTGCACCTACTCACTGGGCTGAATGGTATTCAAGCCCCCAAGCTGGGCTCTGCCCTTGGTAGGCTGCAGAGGTGGCCATGCCCTTGGCACGGTCCCCAGCCGCAGGGAGCTGGCTGGAGCAATCATATTTTACATCTCGCCGATTCCCTCTCCACGACTGCAGCTCATATGGAGGCAGGATCAGGAAGAGCCTGGGGACACCAACGGATCCGGCTCCTTCGGCAAGATGTCCCCAGCGTGGCCTCCGAACTGTCACTACCTTCCGTGGTGTGACCCATGCACATTCTCATAGTCTAAAATAAAGAGGAAAAAAACCCAAACCAAGCAAAACCTTCAAGTATAACGCACTTTTTCCTAACAGTAGCAGCAAACGGCAGAGGCAGGAGCTCAGGACCAGCGGTCCCGTGGAAGTCCTGGGACTGAGCCCCAGACTTTCCCTATTGCCAACACTTACTCCCAGAAATTTCTCTCTACACAACAGACAGAAAATCTTCTCTTTCCTTCCCCACTGCTGCTCAACCCAAAGCAGCTGAGCCTTGAAGGATAAATCATTTTCAGAAAGGTTTTATGCCAGAAGGTTTATGCCAATTCATTGACTCAATCACTATGTGATCGCACTGGCAATATTTGCTTTTGAAGAGTTTCTCCCCAGGGTAAGAAACCACCAATTCATTCCAGCTACTTTATTTAATACAACTTTAAGTGAAAACCAGAGAGTTTTCTATACCCGACACTGGCCATTAGAAGAGGATCTTTTAATGCATTAAGTTCTATCATCTGTTAAAAAGTACTTGGCAAATAACAGTCACTTTGCAAAAAGGGAGGGGGGGAATGAAAAAAGAAAGAAATACCCTGGTTTTTGCTCACCCAGAGCATGCAGACCTTCTGAGGAGCATTACCTGGAGCTGTGCAACACTCGAGGAGCAGAAAGGCACAGCTCATTCCCTAGCCTGGCAGAAGCAGCATTTCACATGGGGTTCAGAGGCTACACTTCAATTAACACATTTCAAGAAGTACCTTTAAGAGAGCAGAACATCCAGAAGCAAAACCAATTATAGTTTAGTCATATGAAGAGCTTCAATACAGTAACAAAGGCTAGACACGCAAACAGGTCTGATCTCTGGTTTAATACTGCCCATCAAACCATTGCTGGAGACAGCATCTTCCAGGGAGGATGTCCTCCCTCCATCCTGCCCAGCACCCACCTCAGAGGAGCAGAGCATCCCCCTTATCTCATTACAGAGTAAAGCTGACATCTGCACAGGATTGGACTGCAGTTACCTTGGCTGTAGTTTAGCTGCATCAGCAACAGGTTTCTTTGGAAGGCTCTGGATGGACAGGAAGTAAAGGACATTGTAGCAGAAACCCCAGGGACACGTCAGGAGCAGGACTGGCCCCAGGCAGCCTTAGGAAGACATTCGTATGGCACTGGAAGTAGTTGCCCAAGGAAGTGTGAATATTCCATCCCTGGCAGTGTTCAAGGCCAGGTTGGATGAGGCTTGAAGCAAGCTGCTCTAGTGGAAAGTGTCCCTGGCTGTGGCAAGGGGTTGGAGCTGGATGAGCTTTAAGGTCCTTTCAATCCAAACCAGTCTAGGATTCATTGATTCTAGCTGGAGTCCTTAGCACCATTACATCCCCTACTCCTCCTGCACGCACTGATGCCAGTGGCTCCAGGACCAGGTCTGGAGGACCCTTCACCATACAGCTTCTCTACTGCTGAGACATAAGTCCCACTAAAATTCTGTTTTCTTCTGCAACAAAATAAACCCCACAGCCAGGCAATCCCAAAGTCCCCAGGTACTGCATCAGGAGTAAGAAGAGTATTATAATGGTCTCCCCATAACTATTTACACAAGTGGAGTCCTACGTGATTGAAGGTTGATGCAGTTTTGGAACTACTCTCACACTCATAATTAGGCAAAGCTGTTAATTATCTTGTTTGATGGGGGCTATTAAACATCAGTCATCCCTGCTCTTAAAAGGGGCACAGGCGAGACATTGCATGGAGAGAGCCTCCACCAGCAACTCGGAGGTGCTGTTGTTTCCATGATGGGTTCCTCTCTAGTTTAAGTGCACAACAAAATCACCAGCATCGCTTAACAAACACGGCTTTAAGCACCAAGGAAATGCTGTGTGTCCCACAAAGTCCCAGGAGAGCTCTGCAGGCATCAAGTGGAAGCTAAGGGCTCTCTAAACAACACATAGCTGGTCCCATTGCAGCCCAGCAGGAAGGAGAGGTGGGATGACCTCAGAGGTCCCACTCAGCTGCTCTGAAGTGGCTCCCCAGTAGTCTCTCTCATCCTAGTTCAAGCAAGAGGAGGAAGGACCCCAAAGAAGGTCCCAAAGGACCCCCATTGTGGCTGTGCTAATGCAACCCCTCACACTGGATCTATAGGCTTTCAGCAATACACCTGTATTAATTCCAGCAAGCCAGACTGTACACCTTCCCTTCAAAAGCCTCATGCCCACCCTGCTGACAAGGCAATCCAAGGAGCCCCATCTGCTTCATCCTGGGGTCCTCCATCAGCCGCTGGCAACCATCAGGTTAAGCATGAGGCTGTTAGTTTTGTTAAAGCCTTTTTTTTGCTCTTTTTCTCACACATTCAAAGTCACAGGAAACATTTTCCTGCTGCTTCAAAGCCCAGAACTGGCACAGACACCCCATGCAGAAGAAAACACAGCAGGATGGTCCTAAATTTCACCACAATGCCAGCGCTCAGCCCCACAGATGACCCATACGGGTTCAAGGCACCATCCACAGCTGCACCACACCAGCTTGCCCACACAGGACAGACGGACACCGTCAGAAGAGCCAGCTCTCATCAAGATTCTTTGCTGTTAGTAAAACTGAATTAGAAATTAATGACAGGCACAGATTGTCACCAAACCCATCACTTCACAAATGCCTCATAGAAAAGCCCCTATACAGCACCAGGATCACAAGTGATGATGTCCCGACAGGCGCCATATACCCACTCAATGAATGAACATGGATACAAAGCTAACCAAGTCTGCATAAAAACACCACATGGGTTAACTACTCGATCATCAGGTTAAGAATCAATTAACCTGGTTGTTGGGGATAACACCGCACTCCCAGCCAGCCTCCTTCCTCCCCAGCAATGCTTCCCATCACATCCACGCACTCATCCGACGAGATGCTGCGGTCGGCACATCGGATCAGTTCAGCCATGGCTTTATTTGTGCTCCCCATCAGGTTTTCCAAGGAAAAAAGGTTTTCCAAACCTGAGACTTTGCTTTTGAAGTGCTCCTGAGAAGGATGGAGGTCATCCCGCTCACAGACAGCCCCATCGCTCCAGTGGGGCTCCTTTAATTCCCGGAGGTTCAAAGGAGAAGCTGCCAGACTCACAATTCATCCTGCATGCGTTTGGTATCGACAGCCAAAAAAAAACCTAAGTGGCAACCCCCAATATTACATAAAAGCTGTCTGCAAAATGAGTTACAGAAGCAGAAATCTACCTCAAAGTTAAGCCTGGGAGGCTGGCACAGAGACAAAAAGTGTTTCCTTGAGAGGGCTGGTGCCAATCTGGCAGCATCCCCGCACTGACCATGGTCACAGGAAGAATTTAAAACACTAAAATTCTCATTATTGCAGCAAAACCTGTTCCGAAGCCAAGCACTTTGCTCGATGAGCCCCCTGCTTAGCGTTATTGATGGTTTTTACTGAGCACATTCTCTGCATCCTGGATGCCCCACAGCACTCCCTAGCCTTGGGAAGATGTGGAGCACAGGCACAGGGCTCGCTCCCTGTGCCAGTTATCGCTCCATACCGTGCAAGGAGCTCTTTCATCAAGCCAAGTCAATCGGCAAAAATCTCTCTGGACACAAACCTCGTGCTGGGAAGGGGGCAGAAAGCCCTGATCTGTGCGGGATGTATTCCCTATCCTGCTCTGACCGAGGAGCAGGAATACCCTGTGCCCTGCTTCAGTACCCTGCAGCCACAGGATAATAAAAGAGAAAGAAAACACAAGTGACACCTTATCTAGGTTTCAAACTCTGCTCAAAAACCAAGCACCGGAGCTTCCCGTCATCACAACGAGCCACTTTTTAGGACAAATCCGTGTTTCTCTCTGGGAAGCGACGGGAGGGCAGCAGGATGCAAACCCGGCGACACCTTGCGAGGCCACCATCCCATCAGCCATGCCACCTCCCCGACTGCCACCAGGAAGCGGGTGCCTTTGGCAATACCACGGCCGAGGGCTTTATTTGAGCCACAGAACGAAAAGGACTCCGGAAACCAGGCACCTCGGGAGCATTCTGGTTACTCACAGCAGTTGAAAGGACGGGTTTTCCCTCTCTCCCCCCGCCCCATACCCCGGCGCTGTAGGAATACGAGGAAACAAACTATTCCGTGTGGATCTGGAGAAGCTGAGCGCGGTTTGGAGCCCGCTCGGGTGACGGAACCCCACCGAGAACAAGGCCAACGCTGCCACAACCCGGACCCGCGGGCGAAGCCCGCTGCTCCCTATGGAAAACCGGGGGAAGCCCGGAGGGGAGCGATGAGTCCGGGAAAAGTTGCGGGGACCCCCCCACCACCACCCCAAAACACAAGGAAAACGCACACGGACACCGGCACCCCCCTCACCTTGGTGTAGAGCTCCGAGGCGGACATGGCAGGGCCGGGCTGCGCTAAGCGAGGGGCATGGGTCCGGCAGGCAGCGACCGGCACCGAGCGACCTTTACACCGCCGCGTCCGGCGGGGAGCGGGCAGGAAAGGGAGCGACGCGGCCGGGCGGCAGCACTGGAAGAAGAAGAAGAAGGAGGAGAATGAGGAGGAGGAGGAGGAGGAGGGGGCAGCACCGCTCCGCCTCCGCCGCGCCCCGCTCAGGTATGGGGCGGTGAGGCAGCGCTCAGCCCCCTCCGGCTGCGTTCGGTCCGTCTAGGATGAGTTCAGGCTGGGCTCGGTTCGGCCGCGCTCAGAGCACTGTTAGGGCTCAGATCAGCTGGGCTCAGCACTGTTCGGACCCAGTTCTGCCGGGCTCAGCACTGTTCGTGCTCAGCGCAGCTGGGCTCGGCTACGTACGGGCTTAGATCAGTTGGGCTCTGCTCTCTTCGGGCAGAGTTCGGCCGGGCTCAGCACTGTCAGTGCTCAGTCCAGCTAGGCTCGGCTCGGTACAAGCCCAGTTCGGCCGGGCTCAGTACTGTTCGGGGTCAGATCGGCACGGCTCGGCAGAGCGAGCAGCGCTTTCCCTCGCCGCCTGTATCGGCTTTTATTGCTTCTTTTTTAAATAAACCCCTTTTTACATACATTTTCCCCTCCCCGGTCCCGGCCTCTTCCCCGGTTTCCCCAGGAGACCACTCTGGTCCTGCTCCCTGCAGCAGGAGGGAGCCGCTGAAGCAGCCACCCTATTTGTTGTTGGGTTTGGTTTTGGGTTCTTTTCCCTTTTATTCTTTGATTCTTCTTCCTCTCCCATGGCAGAAGGGAAATTAAGGCCCAAGCGGGTGCCTCTTGGTGGTTTGAGGCTCTGCCGTCCCTCCCAAATAGGGATCGCCATATACTGGGGTGCAAGGAATGGCCTTAACAGGGTGTCCTTAGGCAGGACACGTCTGTGCAGGGATGAGCAGCACAGGATCCCGCTGGAAACACATGCAAGGAATGCTCCAGGGATGGTTTTTCTCTTGTCGCCTGCGTAAAGGTGGGTTTGGGTTCCCATTGTCAACACTGTGTGCTCCTGGGAACTGGTGTGTGTTGCTTTATCCTACACCAACATCAGGAATGTTTTTTCAGACAGAAACAGCCCAAAACTGTCCCAGTCCTCTTGGTCCATGGCCACACTGCCTCCCTCCATCCCACAGGGATCACCCTGTGCTCCAGTTCCTGTTTATAAGACACCTTCTGAGCCTGAGAAGGATGATGTGAATTCAAAGTATTCCTAATTAATCACTATTACTATTCATTATCATCCGAGGTGTTTTGCATATTAACTAAGGAGGCAGAAAATGTGCTCAGCAGGAGTTTATTCTCTGCCACGGTTGTTTACTCCATACTGGGGATCCCTCCTGCCATGGTTTCACGCTGTGCCGTTCACAGGGGCACCCACAGCCTTTCTTTAAAGCCATTGCTAGTGGCATCTCGCCCTCTGCTGCTCATCCTTTGGGAGGGTGAAACTCCCCCCTTTGGCACCTTTCCACCTTACCGCCCCAGAGCCAGCTGGGAGGACAGACAACATCGCAGATATCTCCCATTTCCAGCTCTTAATCCACCTCCAAATAAATTGCAGGTGGCTCTGGGAAGGAGCAAAGAAGGGGAGAAAAACCTGCACCCTACATAGAAATTACCCTGGGTAACACATTTGACAGCCTAATCTCTACAAAGCCTCCAAAGCTTTGTCAGGCAAACAAAACTTGCTCCTCTCCTTTTATTAAATCAACTGTAAAAACGAAATACCAGTGCAATCAGGAGCAAAAGTGTCAGTGAAGCCTGACTAGCAGCGATAGCCCAGAGGCAAAGCACGGCTGTTCCCATAAAATACCAGCCGGTGCCATGCATGATTTTCTATTAATCTAAAACTTAATGATAATTAGAAACCAAAAAACTAAAATTACATATAAAATCCTTGAAGTATGTCCGAAGTGCTGAGTTCCTGGAAATTGTCTCATTTGGGAGGCATGAGCTTCTTTCCATTTGGGAATCAGAACTTGTGTTGATGATAATATTTAACAAGTGCTCACTCTTAAACAGCAATTTATAGTGCCACCTTTTGCTTGCACGTTGAAGCACTTTGGGTGGGAAAATAACTACATACTAGGAGTTTTTTTTTCACCTCTAAGCAGAGCCAGTGGCTTTGCAGCTACAGGATGTGTGTCAAATGTGTCTACTCCCTCAGATGCTCACAGGTTCCAGCCTTGTCCCCCTGTTACAATGCAATGTGTCCCACGGGCTGGGCTGCTGGAGAGGGGCTGTGGACAAGGGCCTGTAGGGACAAGCCAAGGGGAATGGCTTTAACCTGCCAGAGGGGAGACTGAGATGAGCTCTTAGGCAGAAGCTCTTCCCTGTGAGGGTGCTGAGGCGCTGGCACAGGGTGCCCAGAGAAGCTGTGGCTGCCCCATCCCTGGCAGTGTTCAAGGCCAGGTTGGACACAGGGGTTTGGAGCAAGCTGCTCTGGTGGAAGGGGTCCCTGCCTGTGGCAGGGGCTGGAGCTGGATGAGCTTTAAGGTCCCTTCCATCCCAAACTACTCCATGATTTTATTATTGCTTGCTGGTTCTCTAAGTTAAAACCCTAACACAAGTGTTGGTTGGAGAGAAGCAAAGGCACAACCACACTTTGAAGTGTGTGCTACTTGGCACCTTGTTTGCCCTTTACTGTGAGGAGATGAAAGGAACTGGAAGAAGATGGAAATCAGTAGGATTAAGGAAACTCTTCAGTCTCAACAGACAGCACCATTCTTAGTGCATCGCTCACCTGACTCTTAGGGGAAGTGAGAGGATGCTTCTCAAGGAGTCTGCTCACCCACTCGGCCATTCATCAGCCTGGTATGAGCCTTATGCATTCTTCTATTCCAACCTGAAGCCTTCAGAGCTCTCAGCAGCAAAGGGGTCATCCCCAGCAACACGTTCATTGACCACTAGTTTCCCTTCAGAGGTGTTCGGTTAGCTGTTATCCCACGGGAATCCATCTCTGCTGAAGGCAAACCTGTTCCCATTTGAACTTTCATTTTTGTGCAGATTTCGTGTTCATTGCAGAGGAATTTTGCCTCCAGGAACAGGAGCTCAGATACTTTATAAATACTTGATAGCTCTGACCACCTCTTCAGAGATACTATTCTATTAAAAAAAGACTTATGGTTTTGGATGGCTCAAATTCACTCAGCTCACCAATGTGATAGTTTTTGCCTCTCATATTGGGTGTACCCACCAACAGTGTCACAACCTTTAATAAAACACTTTAATTAATTCTGGAATTCTGAATGTGCTATTATGATCATTTTTCAAAGATGGGTCAAAGTAGTAAAGAAAAAAAAAAAATCTGTGTTGCTTGTGCAGGGCCACACCAGCAGACCAGGAAATTAATCTCTTAATCATTCTGCCAGTTTGACCCAGCAGGGAGAGCAGAGACCTATGATTACCTGAGCTCCCTGGACTGATGAGACTATTCAAGACCAGGTTGGACGAGGCCTTGGGTGATATGATTTAGCGTAAGGTGTCCCTGCCCACGGCAGGGGGGTTGGAACTAGATGATCTTAAGGTCCTTTCCAACCCTAACTATTCTATGATTCTATGATTCGCATTATTTGGGATGGCCTTTCCACTTAAAAATAGGAGGAGCCACTCTGTGTGGCTTTGGAGATGGCTGCTGAAAAGCATCATGTAAGGGCTAGACATCCTGATTAACAACCCACGCTCCTGGTTTGCAACAGACATTTTCTTTCTCAGTGTCACAGAATTCCAGGGAACTCAAGGATCATTCGGTCCATCCTTTTTAGACATGGCAGGACCTAGACTAGATGTCCCAGCACCCTGTCCAGCTGAATCTTAACAGTGTCCAACACTGGGGCATCCACCACTTCCCTGGGGAGATTATCCCAGTGGCTGGTTGTTCTCATTGGGAAAGATTTTCCTCTTGTGTCCAGTCAGTCTCTCCAGGAGTAACTTGTGCCCATCACCCCTCATCTTTTCCATGGGACTTCTTGTAAAAAGCAAATCTCCATCTTCTTTGTAGCCACCCTTTAAATACTAGAACAGACATCCCTTTTTGGATTCAAGGAAGAAGACATGAAGAGGCACTGCTCTGCTCTGTCTAGTCACTTGTCTTGATGATCACGGTGAACTCATTCCTTTTCTATCTGCTATCTCAGGAAGCTGCTCTCAGAGAAGTCCTGTCTGTAAGCAAGGATAAAACTCCACCACACACCTTCACCCCTCAGCAGGGCAAGGTCTTGGGGCCAGGTTATTCCACCATTAACACCCATAATTAGCTGTGTTGCTCTGCTAAGATCACTGATACCATTTCAGATTAATACGTCTCTTCCTGTCCTTTTGCAAACAGATGCACATCTTTCTCCACAGACAGTGTTTGTCAACTTGTTGATGCTTTAAACCATGAAACTGAGGTGACTGTGCAGGCAGTTTATTTCTGATTCATTCCAAGACCTCCTAAGCTCTAATCCCAGCCATTTATCAGCTTCCCCATGCATCTGTTCATGCTCCCACAAAACAAAACCCACAAGAGTCCTCGTACTTGCCAACAGGGAGCCAAACACTGGGAAGGGAAGATGGAGAGGAAAAGGGTGAAAAGGCAAGGGCTGCAGGAAAGATGGTAGAAGCTGAAAAGCTGGAGAGAAACATCTGCAGGTAACTAACAGCAAGGACTCAAGTGGAAAAATGCAAGAAAGCAGCTAAAACATTTCTGGGTGCCACACAGCCTATGAGCAAGAAAGAATATGAGGCTGTAAATGGATTCTTCACTTCCTTCCTCTGAAAAGGACAGCGGGAAAACTAATGAAATACACAACAGGGAGCTGTTCGCTGGCAATGCCCTGGGAGAAGCTGAATTGCACCCACCTCTCCTTTGACATAAAGAGCAATTTTGTTCATTGACAGGGGGAGCTAAGTGTCCTGTGGGGAGCTGTCCCTCCTCCCCACTGCCAAAACCTTTCCAAGAGCTTCCTGTTGACATCTGACCATTTTTTGTGTTGCTCTGTCTTAAAATGTTGCTGGTGCTCTGCAATCCCATTCTGTGTGTTCAGACCATGGCACCGGCAGCAATCCAGGGGCAGTCCAAAGAGGCAGAGTTGCTGTCAAAATTATAAATAATAACCCTTTTTGCAAGAAAATGATAACTTCAGTCCTGCACAATTAATTCTGTCCAAGCAGATGTCTTACAGACAAGCTTTGTGACTCCAATATTCCACAGATCATTCAAGGGCTATCAGAACACGTGCAGAGCAGTATCAGCTCTTTACTGCCCATCTCATCTAAAATAGATTCATAGTTTTGTGTTTAACAAGGGAAATGAAGATGAATCACCAGGTAATTTTTGTCTAAATACAAAAAAAGACTTTGAAAATATTTGCAGTTTGAAAGGCACTTTAATAAAAGTTCACTAAAACTCTTATACAAGTTTTCTTTGTGCAGATTTTAAAGGATGCCTACATACCATTTGTGCCACAATCCTTTATTATACTGCAGAGAACATACAGTTGTCTTGTATTAAGATGCCACACACTTTGATCTGGATTAGTCATTTTGTAAAAGTCCACATGGAAAAAAATTACCTTTAAAATGCTTGTTTCTTATACAAGTAAAATACTATTTCTTGTATTTTCCAGTTAAATATTTTGAGCATCACAGTGGAGAGGGGTCTACTAACTCAAGTCAGTTATAAACATCTTTAGAAAATGTTTTTAAAGGCAACTGAGGGAGCTAAAATACCATAGTGGGTGATCTTCTTTAGAGTCAAGACATTAGTTTTCTTCTGAAAGGGTGGGTTTTTGCTACTTTCTCAAGAGGTATTGATAGAATGTCCTGTACCTTTTCTTGGTAAGCTCTCTCTGCTTCTAGACTCGATTCATAATCTCGCTGCTTCTCTTCTTGCTCAGCATTGCGGGCCTGTTGTCGACAGGCCATTTGAGCCCTGAGTTGCTCTTGGTATTCTTTTGCTTCTTTTACTTTTCTGTAAAAGATATATGAATAGCTTATTTATGAAGTGTGGGTAAAAAAAAAAAACCAAACAACATAATAATTTATTATTACTATTATTACTATAGCTATTAGCATTCAACTTTGCACTAAACTCCTTTTAGGTGTTAAGAATAACTACCATTCTATTAACCAAATGCTACCTGCTAACCTTAGGGTCTTTAGAGTATTAACTGCATTCTGTAACATTTTACAAGGCAGATTGCAAAATCAGTGCTCAACAAAGAGAGCAAGAACAACTCTTTGTAACCAGGAATGGCCCCTTCTCTGCCCCTCACAGTGGTGGTGAGAGGACAGAGAATCAGTATGTCAGGTCTCTGTCCTCTCCTAGCTCAGGCTTGTTGCTGTAGCAGCCTTATACCCCATCTCCATGCCCTCATTCTGAAGATAACAAGTCACTGCCAAAGGGAAGGCAAGGTGCAGGCTCCTGCTGCGCTGTCATACTGATATTCTAGGAAATGGCTGTCAGAAGAAATCATTCTTCCCTTCCACCTCAAGACTCATAGATTACTTTCACGACCCTCTGGAGAAGCAGTGGAAGTCTACCTACTTGTTCAGGCACTTCTGGAGCACGAGTCAGACAGACTCACACAGTCACTTAAAGTACCAACAGTCTAGTCCAGACTTGTGCTCTAACACAACACAGTTGAACCACAAACCCTTACTGACACCTCTGAACAACACCTTCGCTAAGTGAAGCATATCCAAAATGAAGCCCAGCTTGCTTCCTTCAGAAGGGTGAGGTTCCTGCTGCAGCCAGGAGATTGTTACCAATAACACCGTCAGAGAACACAACAGATACTGTCTATAGAAGAAGCTAACCAGTTACCTCCTGCAGACAAGTGTGGAGACAGGGCAGGAGTCCAAAATGGAAATTGAAGAAGCGAAAAAAGCCCGGGGCCCTAGGCTTTCATGACACCCAGAGGAACATTTCAGCTATTGCATGTAACTACATTCTCACCCTGAGGAGCTGCAAGGGAAGGAGAGCCCCGTGTAGCTGGGTTTCGTGCAGTAGTCTGTTATTCGGGTGGCTGCCTATATGATTGTTTTAAGGGATGCATGTGTGTGGAGTTTAGTAATAAGCAAAAACACACTAGTTCTCCTAGGTAACCAATGAACTAACCCTTTATTAACCCTCCTCCCCAAATTCTGCCACTCATAAAAACAGCTCAGAGTATGAGGGGATGTTTTTAATAACCATGATTGATGCAAGTCACATGATGTTCCCAAAAGACCAAAATAAGGATATGTAATGAAATACCATTATTTGTATGATGAGATTGGAATTAGTGATTTAATAACAACTGCAGTTTAACAGAACTGCTGTTGAGCAGTTTAGAGATAACAAGCTCCACAGTGGCAGAGCCTCTCTGAACAGAATAAAGCCCACCCAGTGCTCTTAAAATTGTATGAAAATAAGAATTATTCTTTCCACAAGCTTAAAACATTGATCTGCAATGGAATGAACTGAAGGCATAGGGAAAAAAAAAAAAAAAAAACAAACACAAAAACCTTGCATATTTTTCTTTTTCTGTATGCTTGAATTCACTGATTGCTTCAGCTAGTAACTTCTTCTCCTGAGCGAGTTCTTCCTGCTTCTTTACATTTCTCTGCACTGCAAAAAAAAAAAAACAAACAAAGCCTTTTAAAGATAACAGCACTGCTAAGCTTGGAAGGACAGCAAGGCTGTGTTCAAGCCAAGTAGCCTAAACAGAAAGCCTGAGTTCTGTTGCTTCTAAAGAAGCACACAGAACAATGGCAAGTGTATTCTCAGCTTAGTTTTTCACCCACTCAGAATAGATTTCACATTAAGAATTTAATAATAATATAGTTAATAATAATGACTGCTTGATCATGCGTTCTTTCCTTTACTAGGCTTTGCTGTGGTGATACAATGGGAAATTAGTGCAGGGAATGTCTGTAGGAGTGAAGTTTCAGAAGCAGATTCAGACGCAGTAGCATTGTTGTCCAGTCAGCCATACAACCTGCGCATGCTGGGCCAGATGGTCTTCCCAAAAGCAGCGTGCTGTACTCCCTTTACCTTTGCCAAGACTCACATTCATGTGGTAGGTTTGGTGCCCAGACAGTGAGCTGTTACTACTTACACTTCTCCTCAATCTGCAGTTGTCTTGTATTCAGGACATCATTCAGAAGCTGCTTTCTAGCCTCCTTTTCTAGTCTCAATTGCTCAGCTTTTTTGTCCCAAATCTTTGCTATCTCCTCATCAACGATCTTGTCCTCTTCTTTTTGTCGCTGGTTCTCCTCCTCCTGCTGTTGAGCCAGGTGCGCCAGGTAAGTCTTCTGCTCCTTTAACAGCTCTTGCTGCAAACACAGAGACATTTGCAGAGCTGAGTAAATGACTTCAAAACAACTTTCAAAACATGAAGAGAAGTGGGGTTTGCAGCCACTGGGAACTGAGAGCTCCATTCCAAACCCTGCCATGGGAAAGAGCTGCACAGAATCTTCTTCCTGGCCAGTCAGCAGTGCTTGGACAATAGCATAAGAGCAGAATAAAACCAAGTGATCCCTTCCCCCAGAGAAGCTCAGCTGCCTACAACACTGACATTTCACAAACTTCCTGCAGCTACTTCACCTTTACCTGCATTAGAAGTCTTGGGGTCCAGTAAGCATAATAATAAATATCACCTCTTCTAATTTTGTGCCAAGGTCTAACAGTGAGTTTATACAACTTTCTCACATTAACTCACATGAGCTTCTAAGTAACTTGAACAGAGTAATGAATGCATCTCTCTGCTCTGGCTTAAAGTTACCTTGAAAGCTATTTTCACCCTGAAGCTGGACAATCTACTTGTTTTAAATTTAGGAAGTGACAGTCACATCCATCAATTCACAGCATCTCCAAGATATTTAATATGAGGTTTTGCATCTGCATATGCAGCTATCTATATAAATGCTGTATCTGCATCTTGGCTTATCCAGCTAAGACTTAAAATAACTTCTTAGCATTAATGAATTAGAAGTATTAGCAGTTGTAAATACTTAACAAATCAGGTCCATGAAACAAAAAATATTTTTCTAACCTCCATTATACCCATGTAGTGCAAGGATGAAAAATCTCGGGTGATTTATACACCATGATATTGGTAGAGGGACAAGAGTCCAGGATTTCTTAAAAGCTCCCTTCTTTCACTTAGCTTGGTATCCTTGCTGATTGCAAAGCATGCTTTAAATTACTCACTGTGGTTTTAATAGATAATGGGTTTCCTCAGAGGAGTAGAGCTGTGGCAGGAGGAGAGGTGACAGACTATGCAAGAAAAGAATCAACTTGTTCAGAGAAAAGGGCTTGTGCCTGATCTCATTTATACTGTGCAGTATAAAGCACTAAAGGCCACAAAATTAGTCTAGATGAGGTACTCCCCCACAACTTCACAACAAACACCTCTAGGCCTTACTTTTCTTCTTGCTTTCTCAATGTTCTCCTGGGGGTCCTGAAGAGCTTTTTCTAAGATCTTCATCTCTAAGGCAAGTTCAACTTGTTTTTCTTCATTAAGATGATTCTTCCTGTCCTGTGCTGCACTGAGCAGCATATCCCTGCATTCCCTCTGTTTCTGCAGTTTCTCCAGCTGAAGTTGTTCATTTTCTAGTTTAAGCAGTTGCTGTTCTTCTTCCTACAATGGTAAAAATAGCCAGCTTGTAAAATCATTGCATAACTTCAAACTAAAGTGATGGCTCGAATTAGTTTAATTGGAACATTGGACAGCAAAAATAAATATTTAAAGCCTTTCTTGCTGACATTAGAGAATCAGTGTGATCCATTGAACCTGTTAAAGAATGAACATTTCAGCATATCATTTCCTAGAATTCAGGATTTTTACATTTAATTATCACATGCACTTCAATATCAAAACACTGAAACGCCTGATGTTCTCCAAGTATTTCAAAGGGTAGACAGAATCATCTCTTCAGAGAAATCAATATCATTGCAGCATTCATGATCTATGTCCAAGTTGTCACATGCCGCCATAACCATTAACCAGTAATAGAACCCTCCTGTTTCTGCATGTATTACCTGTGCCATGTTTGTGCTGGATGTCCAGAGCACAGAACTAGTGAACATAAGGTTGTATAAAATAAATAATTGGATCTTTATATTTTGATGGGCAATTACTGAATTTCCATGGTTTCAAACCATTCCATTTTATATTGGAAAGAAGAGAAAAAATGGACAGTAGAGCTGAGTTCTGAAAAAACAAACAGTGAAAACCAGAAAACGTATTCAAGATCAAACAGTTCTATTCAAGAATATTAAAAAAATAATAATAAAAATTAATCCCAGAGTATCATCAATAAACTAACTTAGCATAATTCCTGAACAGCCTGCATTTGAGTAAGTTTGCAAGCACAACTGCACTTAAACATAGTCATAAAACAGCATGTGACCATCATTAACTTATCTACAGGCCTCAGAAGCAATGTGTCGGCTGTCTTGAAGGTACAGTTTTTTTGTTAGCCTGTTTTTAAATTAAATATCTCTTTTGTAATGTGAACAATTCTTCTCAAATGCATTAGCAGGTTTGTCTAATCTTCCCCATACAGAAGTACAAGCTGCATTTCTTAAGGAACAGAACTTGTTACGCTGGACATAAAGCACTCACTGATTTTTCCAGTGCTTCAAAGCCAGAGCTAGTTAACAGTCTAGTGGGCAAGCTGCCACATGTCGTAGACTGAATTCTGACACCAGTGAAGCTGTGTGAGAGTGTCCAAAGATGGAATCTGTGGTGCTTATTCTACGAAGGTGGGGTAACACAACACTGCAAGTGTACACAGAAATTGCTACCAACCATCCATCTGTAAGCTAGGACCAAAGTGCTATGGCAGAAACCCATGTAGCACTTGTGAGACTACAGCCAGAATAATGTGATTTCAATCACCTTCTCAGGAAATCATACTTCTTTAACAGAGAGAAAAGAAAGAGCAGCAGGAAGATGGCTAATGTCACTAGTGTAGCTAATGCAAAATTGCTGTCTCTGTTTTGTCATCCAGCCTGAAGCATTCTGATGCACACGTGGTATTTCATGGCAAAGGCGCAAGTTTTAATTTACTAAATAATCTACTTCAAGCAGCAACCAGAAGAAACCATCACACATCGAGACACTTAGTTGTCCTTGGTGAGTCCTTCATCCAGATGAAACCCCTGACCATTAGAGGCTATCAACTCTGCACTGAGAAACTTGTAATGGGGCCATCTGCCATATCCCTCTTCTGCGGATAAAGGATTATATCCCATTTTCAATACAGAAACTCTTCTTTATGGACCCTTTGAAGAAAGCTTTTTTCTGACACCAAACCACTTCACCAGAAATTTATGTCCTTGACAGAGCCCAAGGCAGCTCTCTTCAGGGGAAGCTACAGAGTCTTCTACTCTAGTCGGATATTTCTGAAAAGGCCAGTTAAGTACAAGAGTTCTTTGCCTGGAAGGTTTGGCAGTGCCTTAAAAGTTGTTAGAAGAAGACAATTTCATTCTGCATGTTTTTAAATAAGTGAAACATTACAAGTCTAGCTTGAAAGAAGGACTCTACTGTTTTACAGGCAGGATTTTCAGAGCGTAGAGTCATTATTTTTACAAATCAGTGGAGTATGTATCTTGCCAACATCAGCTTCCAGTGTCTAACACAGTACCCTGAGTGATTATTCAACTGCTACATGTAAATAGCTGCAAAATGAAGACTGAGTCTGAACTAAACAGTCTCAACTCACAAAGTCAACAAGAATACTGTGAACCAGTGACCCCACTAAATCCAGCACAACTACAGCAAGCCTACACTGGGGGAAGATAAGGAGAAAAATTAAAAAAAGGGTAGCGGCCATTTTGGCCAAGGTAGTCAAATGCCTCCCGTGATGTGATACCCAACAGCAGCCAACAACAGCAGGTGAGAGAGCTTGGGCACTGCTTGCTAATTTGTTTCTAAAAAAAAAAAAACCGATGTAGATTCTGAAATTCAGTCAGCTGCAGCATAATCAGTTGGGATTTTTCATATAAACATGTCTCCTCATGTACGTATCAGGGTCCTGAGCTCATCAACAGGCTCTACAACCTCTCTGCAGGGTTTGCCTACCTGTGCTTCCAGCCAGCCCCGATGTGAGCCTTGGATCAGAGAGCTGGGAAAGACTGGTGTGGGCTAAGAGGAGTCACTTCAAGCTGCAGTTAGGTTCTGTCTCTTGCCCTTGGTGCCTACAAGAGCTGTGCTGCAGGTATGCCTATGCCTGAAGTTGATCCTGATCTAGACCTGCTGACTTGACTTGCCGAGCAGTCTAGACTTTTAGATGTCAGCAGTTACTGACAGCAGACTTCCTCTGTTCCATTTCTTTGGGTACTGTGGGACTCCTGACACGGAGGACAGTGTACTTGCCTGTCCTACTGTCACCTTCAGCTCCTGGCTCCAATTCCCTTCTGGGAGCAGCACACTCTTGGTGTTTCCTCCCAGTGCATTTACCATGATCATTGGACATATATATCATGGTCTGAGATCTGGTCTGAGATGTAGTGCTGGACTCTCCAGCTATCCCACAAGAAAACGGAAATCAGAAAACTGCAAAGATGTGGGGCAAAAGGTTAAAAACATTTCCATTTCCCGCAGAGGCTCTGAAAGCCTTTGAATGCCAAAATCCTTTACGGTGCTAAGCATTCAAAAGATGTATTTCCCTCTGTAAACAGGAATGCATTTGCCACAGCTCTGGAAAAGAGGCTTAGCATAATAGGGAAGTCTCAGATGCTAATGGAATCAGTGAAGAAGATACAAATAAGGTACAGATTAATCTAAATGTCTACTAAGCCTATCATTAGGAGGGCCTCAGACACAACCCTGAATTGAGAATGATAACAGAAATTACCAGCAGTCGAGCCTCTTCCTCCTTCAGCCGCTTTGCCTCCTCTTTGTGAGCCCTCAGCACTGCTACCTGGGCATTGAGCGCATTCAGAGCTTCCCGATTCTGTTCTGCTACTTTCTGCATCTTCACCGCTTCTTGCTTTTCCTTTGCTAACATATCCTCCTTCAAAAGCTCTTCAACCATCTGGTCTTCCTTCTGCTGCTGCTTTTCCAACTCCTCCTTCAGTGCTACCTGGGCCAGCTGGTCTTCAAACACTTCTTTCTGATGCTTCTTCATCCACAGTGTACGAAGCTCTTCAGATTGTTCTCTGAAAGGCAACATAAATGTTAAAAAAAAAACCTAAAAGTCTCAAAGTAATAAGCAAGTCTGGAGGTGTGATGGATAGAGGTCCCCAGCTCATAATACTCAAAGAACCATGGGTCAGGATACCAAACTGTTTACCTGGTCTGACACTGACTCCTTGTGAGACCTAAGGAATCACAGAGAGCCTGATGTGATGGAGATTTTTACATGAATGAGTTGAAGAGCAGGTCCTATATCTGCATTTGTAAAGTATATATATATACACACATGCACAATATATACATACATTTTATACACACTGTGTATTTTATACAAAATATATATATATCGTTGGAACATGCAATGTGTGGGGTCTGTATATTTCTTTTAACATATAAAACAAATGCACACTGCACTTGCTCAACATGTAGGTTGCTCTTTATTCAAATGAAGACTTAGAATATCTTTATTAGTCACTTGAAAGCTCATCCATACTCAGGAAATACTTTGAGCACGGAAATTTAGGTTCAACAGGAACCACTAGAAATTTATTAATTTTTTAATGAAGTTTTGTGGGATAACTCAGAAAAGTTGCAATGAAAGTCAGGAGAAGCTAGAAAGTCAAACAACTAATGCAGCTTTCAGTTTTCACTTACTCACTGCAAATGAGTTGCATATAAACAGGTATTTGTCCCCAGCTGAAGAGCACTCAACTGTTTATAGATTCTGCCTTTATTTTTGCAAACAAAACACTATTGAGATCAACATATGCTATTGAACAACATCTAATTTGAACAATATGCAAGCATTTTAATCTGTTCTATAACTAAGATATAAATTTTCACAAAATCAAAATGGGAAACTGGCAAACAATGGTGAAGATCTACAAGCGTTCAGGATCTACAAGCTCTAAGGATGTGTGACAGACAGACGTGAATGCTGTGAAGTAAAAAGATATCTCAATTTCGTGCTGAATGAAACCATATCTTCTACAGGTTACTACAATCCTAATTAGGAATTCATAGCAGATATTGTAAGACATCATTGACTGAATCTCAAACCATGGCATGACAGCAGCAGTTACCTGTACCATGTAAAATACTATTACTTTGCACAGCATTTAGCTGACAGTCCTGTGTAGCAAAAATATTTAATAGCCATCAAGGAACTATTTCACAGAACTCAGTCTCCACACTGGGATAGCTGAAGCTGATTTGAATAACTGCAGCAACAACACAAAATCTGAATCCCATTGACGAAGGTGTAATTTATTTTTTTTTAATACTTAAAAGCAAAATTAAATTTGCCAGCACTAAAAGTGGGTATTTGGTCGTTTGCTTTTTCATATTCTGTGGTCCTGCTAAGGACCTATCTTTGCAAAGTCTTTACTTTTCTAAATGATTCTGAAGTCCAGTATAGCTCATGGAGGCCTCAGAAACAACTCAAATTTGGCCTCTCCCTAAGGTCAACTGCTATATCCACTGGCAATGACGCAAACAGGGAAAATATAGCAAAACAGCATGTGGCTGGTGATCTGTAACTCATTTCTGCCCTAAAACTAGTAAGACTATGCTCTGAAATTATGGCTTCGTCACCTCCTGCTCACCTCCTTCTAACAAGCACAGAATGAGCACAGCTCCTGGTATCATTAATATGCAGCTGAGGCAAACACCAGCATGTAAATAATTATTTGTTGGCTTACAAGATCTTCCAAAGCTTTACCAATAAAACTCCATGCTAAGACAGCCTACTAAAAAATACTTACGGTTTATAAAATGCAAAAAGCATTCCCCCAAATAGCTCTACTCTGGTTCAGAACCGGTTGAACAAGCTGCTGACAGACAGAACAAGTGACAGTGCTGAAAGCCAGACTGACCCTGTTCTCACTTCCACAACAACAGTCAAACTTAGAGTGAAGCAGTCCAAAATCAGAGCTGACTGTGGAAGGGAAAAGTGGCTACACCTTGCTGTCCCTTGCTGCTGTAGCAGTGAGGTACAGCCCAAGAACACATTCCATGACCTGTAATTTCATGCAGAAGCAGGGGTCTCACTACGTTTTCTTTCTGTCAGCATTCACTGTTTGCTGCCTCACATTTCAGCTGTAAGTTTCTGAGGCCAAGGGCACCCCTTTCTTCATCTTCTATATGTAAAGCACCTAATGCCATGGAGCCTGTGGTAGAAGGTGCTAGGCACTATATACAAACAATAAAAGGGACAGCAGTGTCATGAAAACAAAATTCTCATTTTGCTTGATATCCAGAAGGTATTTCTAACCTCCTAACTAGGAGGAAACAACAGCAATCTGTCAAGTTCCCTTTCATTAACACCACACTGCTGTAAGATAAAGCCTGCCACGCTTGGTACTTTCGCCCCCCTCAATCCTAGGATATGCCACATCCTCTAACCAAATGCTGGTTCTTTCCTTAGTCAGGCTTGTATCATCTAAAGGAGAAACTGTCCCTGGAGTGAGGAACCATCCTTAGCATAGCTGCAGAAGAGAAGGGTGAAGAAATGCAGTAACAAAGGAGCAGATGCCGGTGCAGGCTAGTGAAAAGGAATGGTTTGCCTCTTGTACAAGACAGGAACCTTCTGACTACTGGTTGTCCCAACAATGAAAGCAGAGAGAAGCACAGAGATGTGCAGGCTGTAAGCAATGGCACGCTCCAAGAGGTGTCCCCGTCCTTCAAGCAGGTCAACAAACATACTACGTTATTGCCAGTTTTCTTACATTTTAGCACTGGGGTCTATCTTCCAACTCCTGGGCAGGAGCTAGTGGTGATTAAAGACTACAATACTAATTACTATTCATGAAAAAAGTGTTTCTCAAATATTGTGAGGCAAACATGCCATTATTAAGATTTGAAATCTTACACCATTAGAAATAACTGTATTACCTTAACACAATGGGTTCAAAGTTCTCTCAGCAGTGAAGGAATAAATAATTACTTATTCTTTTTCATGACTATAAACTAATCTGAATTTTAATTGAATTCTCAGAAAGGAAGAGAAGTTAAATAAAAGTTCAGCACGGTTAGAATTTTAATATAAAATAACCCTATACTTGCTTGATTTCGTCAAAATAATTCCTTTAAAGCAGCTTTTACAGCAACCTATAAACATCTGCTCCCCCAGATGGCTGGTTTTCTTCCTCACTTTGCTATCCTAAGCTTCTTAACATTAGAATGTGTGTAGCTACTTCCCAAAGACAGAAACTGCATTTATTCCCCACCACTCACAGTTATTTATTCATTTTATGGCTGCAATACAAAGTTGCTGTGATAACAGCATCTCTGTATGGATGTTTGATGTGATCACAATAAAAAGGATGTGTTTTATGCAAATTTTAAGATCCTGCAATTTCCTTTAAAGATACCAATGCTGAACATGCCCTTGGGCTAAAACTGGCTGAGTATCTCTTCATACAAGTTGTTGTAGCCCTTCATGAAAATGAATTCCAGTGTGACTTTAGTAGTCCAAGGATTGTGCCCTCTATGACCTCACCACAAAGGACTCTTCCTGGCTAATATCACCACTGAGAAGCTGTTAGATCTATTACCCTTGGGCTACAGCTCCAAACCCAGCCCACACAGCTGATAAAAGAGCATCCTTTTAGTATTCTGAAATAATGTATTGGAGTGTTGTACACTTCAGGTGCTCCCATACCTCAGGCTGAGAATCTATACTGCAAAAGAGTGGAGTGACTTTCTTAAAGTTAAGAGAAATAAATAAGTCTGTATTCGGTTTCAGAAAGACATTCCAAATAGTTGTAAATTCACAGGCAAAGAGAAACAGAAAATCATGTGTATATCCACCTGCTGTTGAAATCATCTCCCTGGGCTCCTCTGGCTGTGCCCTAGAGCAAAGGTTTCCAAAGCAGGGTGCGTAAGACAATCCACTGGGGAAGAAAACACATTTTGTAACACTAATAAGTAGCATTAAAATTAAAAGTGTTTACTTCTTCTTTACCTTGCCCTCTTTTAATTTCAATTTTTGCATATGCTTTATAATGTATATAATATACTACTATAATACTACAAGTACATAATTTATAAATAAGTAAATATATTATGCATATATATTTATAGCAGCCTTCCAATACCTAAAGCGGGCCTACAGGAAAGCTGGAAAGGGACTTTTGACAAGGGCCTGTAGAGGCAGGACAAGAGGGAATGGCCTTAAACTGACAGAGGGGAGACTGAGAGAGCGGACTGGGAAAGGTAGAAGAATCATGGGAATGATCCCATGAGACTGAGTCAATAATGTATCAGCAGGGTTGTACTGGGAGAAAACAGGACCTGAGACATCAAGACAGGTAACTGCAGTATGAAAGTCCAAGTGTGTTATCAGCAGACGATGAGATTCACTGGTGGGATTCTGTCTGCAATTACAATACCTAAAATCAGGCATCTACATATCAGCTAAATTCTAATCAATGAGAATCTACCCAATCACCGGCCAGGGTGCAGTTCAGCTGACAGACCAGTATATGGCTAATTCAGTATAACATTAGATTCCTTTAACTGTCCTGATCTCAATGAAAATTCACTGAGTAGAACAGGATTTCATATTCAGTGAATATAAAGATAGCAACACTTAGACACCTACCTTTAGGTGTCTAAATCAGAAACCGAATCATGACTCTTCAGCATGCAAGACAAGCTACAGGTACAAAATAAAAGGCAGTCCAGCAGCACCTCCTCAAAACAATTTTAAATGTGAATTTCAACTACTGCATGATGGATACGAACTAGAAATTGTCAGTTGTGAGGGCCATATTTTAAAGCCAGCATGTGAATTTAGACGTGAACGCCCTGTCTTAACACCTGCCTCAGTCAATGAACCCCACACTTAAGAAATAGACATCTATCTGTGAAATTAGTTAATTAGAGCTCATACACAAGTGAAAGCAAGTGTTGATTTTTACTCCTGCACACTGAGAAGCAGGTGTTCTGGATTTCCATGGTGGGAGAGTAGCAAGAGACACTTCAAATGATTACAATTAAAATACATTAATATTATTTTCATCCCTTCCTCAGAAAATCAGATTTCCAAGAACTGAACAAGTCAGATTTCATGCCAGGGCCTCAGAGCCTGATATACACCTGTAAATCTTAATGACTTTGGAAGATGTTGACAAGCTCAGCATCCAGGAACTTCAGGTTGCATTTAAACTTCACTTTTGGCTGGAACTCTTGAATATGCAGTAAATAAAAACACTGTCTTATTGGACAGTCTTCACTTTTCAAAGATCTTCAATGTAGCTTAGGAAGTATCATTTAGGCCAAATTAATCTTCCATAAACGCTTTTCACTCCAATAGTATAAAGCTGAAATAGATTATGCCAGAATAAGGAATGACAAAAACAGCTGACTTGGCAGGTGACAGTGCAGGGATGCTCACACAGGACTCAGAGTTTCATAGTACACTTGAAAGAATGTTTTCCTAGTATCTCAACACTTAAATAATGGGGATAGTGAAGATCTCTGTACCTGTTGTCTTCATCTCTACTAATTAAACTTTTTTTCTCACATATTTTACTGAGCATTACAGCATTACAAATTTGGTCCCTGGACCACAGAAAGTCAAAAACAGGTTATGCTCTGCTCCACTGCATGCAACATAGCTGAGGCCTTTCAACTTCTGGCAAAGCTCACACACCTTTATCCAAACCACTTTAATTTGGTTTTGGTTTATCATTTCACTCACATTCATCTTTTCTTACTCAGTTTATCATTGTCACCTTGTTAAATGGCTTCTTTATATCTACTTCAGGCAAATTCTCTTTTATAAGATATTTTTATGGTGATACCTGAATTGCTGCTCTCTCTTTTCAGCCACCAGTTGTTGTCTTTCTTCTTCTCTCTTCTCTTTCAGTAATTTTGCTCGCTCCCTCATCTTTGCTTGTTTCTCCTGTGCTGTTTCTTCAAGTGCCTCCATTTCAGCACAGTACCTACTTTCCTCTGCTTCCAGAAGCTCACAAAGCCTGTAACAAAAATGTTTAAAGAAAAGCTAAAACAATCCTTCTGTTGAGTAAGTTTGAGTTTGTTATGAGCACAAAATAGGTACTAGGCTCCTTTCAACATTTCTTGCAAATGCCAAAGAAGGGAACATCAAATTTTAACTCGGGGATCATTCCTGTTATGCCCATGGAGGGAATCTTACAGCACAGTATGAGCTAGTCTGTCGTGGCACAACTTAAATTCCTGAGCTTACAAACCCACTTCTGATGCTACTTTACAACTCCAGTCCCCCGTTAAACAAATACTATATTTGTCACCAGATGAAATTAATTTCTTCTTGTACTAGTGTTATCCTTCAGCATAATCCCTCCCTGGTATTTACCACCCTTCTCTACACATCTGTAACTATCTTCCCTTAAACTACCTTCTATTATTTAAGCATCACTCCATAAACCACTTCAGTCTGAAAGAACTTGATGAAAAAAGTATATCAAATCAGCAATTTTTAAACATTTTGCCATTTACCTCTCTATTTGTTCTAGCAAAAAGAAAGGTGGAGGAATTCAGGAATCCAGAAATTCACTCATTTCAGCCTGAATCCCCCAGCGTTTTCCAGGAAATTACTCTCACTTTTATGTAATGGTGTGCCGTGCTACTACATGAGCAACATCGCTCTAGGACCTAAACTGCCACTGCCAGTGGGAGTTATAGTAGCAAAGCCAAAGACTAACCAATTTTGGAAACTGAATTACAAAGTTCTAACTATACACCAAGCTGAGTCTCCATGCAAAGACAACATAGGGATATTAAGTAGCTAAGTAAGAACAAACCCCATGAAGATCAACAACACCTGGGGAGGAATAACCCAATGAATTGGTACACACTGCAGGCTGACTGGCTGAGTGCCTCTGCCACAAGGGACCACCGGGTCCTGGCTGACATGCTGAGCAGAAGCCAGCAATGCACCCTTCCGGCAAAGAAAGCCAACAGCATCTTAGTCTGCATGAGGAAAAGCACTGCCAGCAGGTCAAGGGAGGCAAACCTTCCTTTCAGGAATGATCAGACCTCACACAGATTGCTGGATTCAGTTCTGGGCTCCCCAGGACAAGAAAAATACTGACTTAGTGAAGCGAGCCCCTGTGAAGGACCTAAGATAATTAAGGGACTGCAGCATCTCTCCTGAGAGGAGAAACTTCAGCCTGGAGAAGGTTCAGGGGAATTTACCTATTTATATTTACCTGAAGGAAAGGAATGTGGAAAAGGGTCTTCTCAGTGGTGCACAGTGACAGCATAAGAGGCAACGGGCACAACCTAAAGCATGTGAAATTCCATCCGAACACAAGAAAACTCGGGTTTGTTTTGGTTTGATTTTTAGCTGTGAGGGTGGTCACATACTGATGCAGGTTGCCCACAGAGGTGGTGAAGTCTCCATGTATAGAGATAAGCAGAACCTGCTGTACAAGACTGCCTGAGCAGGGGGTCAGACTAGATTATCTCAGGAGGTTCCTTCCAACCTCTGCAAGTGGTATACAATTGCTACAAAGACATACCAGAGCAGGATACCTAACCAGTGACCTTCACAGCTCCAAAGTCACTTAACATGAAAAAGTAACTGAGAAGTAGAATCATATTAATTTTTTTTCCCAAAGATCAACACAGCTCAGTTGTGTTCTTTACAAGACTGTGATATGCCTCACCTTTATTATTCTGACTTTTGAAATTCTTTTACTTTTGAAACTTTCTCTAATGAAAATTACTTGTATGAACTAAACATTGACTTGATGAAGCTACAAAAAAACACTGTTACACCCAGCAATTAAAGCTTCTGACAATAAAGTACTCTTCACTCTCTTTAAAAATCAAGCAATTAAAGTTCATATACTACAACTATATACTGAATATACTACTACAAAATACTACTTTTAATTTGCATTTGGCAGACTAGGTTCTAAACGCCACCTAAACTGTACTACTTAATGTGTTTGACGTGATCTCTAGTGACTGGTTCACACATCAATAATACTAATGGCAGCAAATAACTACTGTTTGCTGTACACTACTGCTTGGCCAACAAATAAGCACAACTCATGATTTCTGTTAAAATAACAAACATCATGCTCCAATACACAGTATAACATACAATGCTGAGCTCCAGAATGTTTTTCCCTGTCATCATTCCTCTAAGTTAAGTTGAAAATAGTAGGGCAGATATTGGTATTAGCTACTTGTTTGCTACCTCATTCTCCTCTCGTCAATCCCGGCCATATACTCCTGCATTGTCACGTCAACCTTTCTCTGCACAGCACTGTTCAGCCATTTTTGCTCTTTGCATTGCTGCCACCTGTAGACCTTGCAGTACTGGTCGAACAGCTTTATTAATTTAGTCTTTTCAAGGAGTTCCTTTTCTTTCTGTCTCCAAGCCAACACAAAATTTTCATTTCTTTGCTCTTTAGGAGGCTTGGCTCTCTGTAAGAGAAAACATAAGTCAGTAGTGAAAATATAATCAGTTATTCCACTTTTTGTTTTGCTTTTGGTTTTTAGCTGAATTAATCACCAAACAAGACAATCTGTGCTTGAGCCCAGAACCCCCCGTGTGCTGGGCTGTACCCCCAGGGCGTGAGCAGCAGCTCAAGGAGGGGATCCTGCCCCTCTGCTGCACTCTGGGGAGACCCCCCTGCAGTCCTGATCCAGCTCTGGGGCAGCAGCACAAGAGGGACGTGGAGCTGTTGGAGCGAGGCCAAAGGAGGCCATGGAGATGCTGCGAGGGCTGGAGCAGCTCTGCTCTGGAGCCAGGCTGAGAGAGCTGGGCTGGGGCAGCCTGGAGAAGAGAAGGCTCCTGAAGGGGAGACCTGAGAGCAGCTCCAGTGCCTAAAGGGGCTGCAGGAAAGCTGGAGAGGAGCTTGGGACAAGGGCCTGTAGGGACAGGCCAAGGGGAATGGCTTTAACCTGCCCGAGGGGAGACTGAGATGAGCTCTTAGACAGAAGCTCTTCCCTGTGAGAGTGCTGAGGCGCTGGCTGAGAAGCTGTGGCTGCCCCATCCCTGGCAGTGTTCAAGGCAAGGTTGGACACAGGGGCTTGGAGCAAGCTGCTCTAGTGGAAGGTGTCCCTGCCTGTGGCAGGGGACTGGAGATAGATGAGCTTTAAAGTCCCTTCCGACCCAAACCAGTCTGGGATTCTACGATACATAACACCAAATGATGAGAATTTGGGGTTATAAGGGTAAACCCCAAGAGGACTGCCTTGAATAGCACAACACCCGTACAAGAGCATGAAATGGCTTCAGGTGCCCGCACTTCCTTGTCTCCCATGCTACAGCTTCATTCTTGCCGTATACATGCAAGGGGATGTTTATAGTTTGCTTTATATGCACCGAACAAGTGTCCTCACCACAGGTCACCCCCAGCCATCTCCCTCCAACCACATCTCCCCAGTGCCCTCCCACACACAGCCGCACCCTACGGCGAACACACGGGACCTGTGTATCCGCGAAGGACAGACTTGGCCCCACAGGGGTGCAGCTGGGAAGGCTCCTTTAGAGACCCCCAACTCCTGCAGCCCTCTCCCCGCTCCCAGCTCCCCTCACAGGGCCCGGCATCGGGTTGAGGCTCTCCCACCGCGCACCCCCGACTGGAGGGGAGGAAGCTGTCCCCGTCCCTGCTCGGTCCCTCACCACCGCTACGGAGTGCGGGCCGGGCCCGGCCACCTCCCGGCACCGCCGCTCCGCCGCCATGGCCGCTCGGCCGCCTCATCCGTTGCTATAGCGATGCGCGGCGGCGGATGTGACGTCATGACGCAGCCTGCACGGAGGGGTGAGGGAGGTGGTGGGCTGTAATGGGGGCGGGAGGGGACTCGCGACCCCCGGGGGCAGCCGTGTGGTGCCGCAGGTCTGCAGCCCCTGGCGCGGTCCCCCACAAGGTCCTTTTCTTTAACCTGTAGAGAGATGGATTTAATGAGTGCGCTGATAAGATGGTTGGACAGTTGCATGCAGCTCAATGTCTGGATGCACACCAGTGACAGATGGTGGCCCTCAGGGGTCTATACTGGGATAAGTAGTTCATCAGCAACAGAGTGGGGTTGAGTGCACTGTCACAAGCGCGCAGATGACACACCCGACGGTAGGGATGCGATACAGAGGGCGCTGGGCGGGTTGGAGAAGTGGAACCATGCAAACACGATGAGGTTCAGTGGGGCCAAGCACAGCGTCCACCCTGTAAAATACGAGCTCACTCCTCTAATAGAGATAACAGGGTTTTATTGAGGGACAAAGTCAATAAAAGTAACAGTGCTGGGTGCATGACCGTAGCCAGAGGTGCACTGATTAGCATTTGTTACAGGTTTATATACTTTCACTACTGCATTTGTCATATACACATTCATAATTCCTGTGTATAGGTAGGGAATATTATAACTAGCTCCAGGAATTTATTAGCATAAGTCTCTTGGTGTCTGTGCACTGCTCTGCAGTGATTGTGGGTGGGGGTGTTGAGGATGAAGTAAGCAGTCTTCCTCTTGTGAGCAGAGATCTTCAAGATGAAGTAAGCAGTCTTCCTCACAGTGTACTTTCACCTTTGGCATGGTTGGATGCCCCAGTAATCACAAATTAGCTGAAACCAGCTATATCTGTAATTCTGATAGCTGGCAAAGGTTTAGAACAGTGCAAAATTTATTGCAGGATGGGCAGACAAGGAGTATCCCAAGCTAGCAGATGGTTGGGAGGCTCTGTCTCTAAACTAACTGATAAGTAGAAGGATGGTGTGAAATAACTCATTCATGTTTAGTGGGGCCACTAGATTCCACAGACTTACAACACATTCTTCTTTATCTTCGACTTAAGTTAGACTAAAAGTACTTTAACCCTATGTTTTCCAGGCACTACTTTCCTTATATCAAGCCCCCCCCCCCCCCCCCCCCCTTCACACACACACACACACACACACACACACACACCCTTTTCTTTTACCTTTACAAATTCTTTTGCTATGTGACTCCATTTTACTCAAGAGTTCTGGCCAATTTCAACTTGTCTAGTCTTGTATCTTTAGTGAGATTTGTGAACTCATACAGTTATATCCACATAGCAACACGTATGATTCGTGAAAGCAAATACATTTATGTGTTTATCACAACCCCCTGGTTCGGGCAGCTCCCGGTATCAAGACAGGCTGGGGGATGGAGGGATGTAGAATAGCCCTGAGGAGAAGGACTTGGGGTGTTGGGTGAGAAGCTCCCCATGACCCAGCTTCAGTGAGCGCTTGAGCCCAGAACCCCCCCGTGTGCTGGGCTGCACCCCCAGAGCGTGAGCAGCAGCTCAGGGAGGGGATCCTGCCCCTCTGCTGTGCTATGGGGAGACCCCCCCCCCTGCAGTCCTGATCCAGCTCTGGGGCAGCAGCACAATGATCAGAGGGGTGAAGCTCATCTGCTGTGAGAAAAGGCTGAGACAGCAGGGCTTGTTCAGCCTGGAGGAAGAAGACTCAGGGAGGCTTTATTGTGGCCTTTCAGTTCTTAAAGGGGCCTATTAAGAAGGATGGGGAGAAACATTTTAGCAGGGCCTGGTGTGATAGAACGAGGGGTGATGGTTTTAAACTAAGAAAAGAGACATTCATGCTGGATATGAGAAAAAATTCTTCACAATGAGGGTGGTAAAACACTGGCACAGGTTACCTAGAGAGGTGGCAGTTGCAGCATCCCTGGAGACATTCAAGTCTGGATGTGGTTCTGGGGTACCTGATCTAGTGGAAGGTGTCCCTGATCATTGCAGGGGGGATTGGGCTGGATGAGCTTTTGAAGGTCCCTTACAACCTGAACCATTCTATGAGTCTATGATTCAGAGGGTGACAGAGTCCAGGCCCTGGAGCCCCTCAGAGCAAAGTGCCTGGCTGGGAAGTGCTAAGGACATCTAGTGAGGGGAGAGCTTGCACAGATGGGTAAAAGAGTGAGAAAGTTTTGTGTTAATATGTGCATAAACCAGAGATTGAGTTTAATGGCAAGAATAGGCTCCCTGTGCCTGCGGGTTGGTGGTAGCTGTGTGAGCCCCACAGAATCAGCTCCTGGTCAGGGAGGGCAGTCATCTTTGAGGCCTCCTGTGGTCCATGTCCTGCTGATGGACAGGCACCGGAGCTGCCTGGGATGGAGGATAATGGTAATTAAAACAGTGACTGTGGGTCAGAGATTGCTTCAAGTTACTTGCCCACAGAGAAGGAAAAAGCTGTTGCTCTGTCTGCCAAGAACTTCTCGCAGAAAATCAGGACTTCACTGATAACAAGTTGGAAAAATTATCCAAAGGAAGAAAGATCAGTGTTTAAAGCTGATTGTAAAGCTTGTTCTCATCCAACTGAAATATGCAATGCAGTTACTTCAGGTAACGGTCACAGGATCCTTGCACAATCAGACAAAGTGCTGTGTTACACAGCATGTATACACTGTGTTTCACACACATATATTATGCCGCTGAAGCAGTGCTTGAACTGGAATATCTTTATTTCAGTGGAGACTTATGCTATCATTCTACTGTAACTTAATCTTTGAGATGTTTAGGAGATGTAAACAACTTCACACCAGGGAACTGTGGAAACCCTGAAAACTCATATTTAAGGGCTAGGAGGGATGAATTTCTTGGTATGTTACAGTTTTGCCTAGGATGATGTCCAGGAAGCTAGGGACCAGGTTAGGAAAGCTAAGGCCCAGTTAGAATTAAACTTGGCTAGGGATATTAAGGATAACAGGAAGGGATTCTACAGGTACATAGGAAATAAAAAACAGACTAGGAAAAACGTAGGCCCCCTCAGGAAGCTCTCGGGAGAACTGGCTACACAGGATTTGGAGAAGGCTGAGGTTCTGAATGACTTCTTTGTCTCGGTCTTCACTGGCAAAGGCTCTGACCACACCACCCAGGTCTTGGAAGGCAGACGCAGGGACTGTGAGAATGAAGACCTTGGGCCCACTGTAGCAGAGGAACTGGTTTGAGACCATCTTAAAAATCTGAACGTGCACAAGTCCATGGGTCCTGATGAAATCCCTCTACAGGTCCTGAAGGAGCTGGAGAATGAAATTGCTAAGACACTGTCCATCATATTTGAGAAATCATGGCAGTCAGGTGAAGTTCCCGACAGCTACAAAAAGAGAAATATAACCCCCATTTTCAAGAAGGGGAAGATGGATGACCCGGGGAATTACAGACCAGTCAGTCTCACCTCTGTGCCTGGCAAAATCTTGGAGCAGATTCTCCTGGAAGGCATGCTAAGGCACATGAAAAACAACAAGGTGCTTGGTGACAGCCAGCAGGGCTTCACTAAGGGGAAATCCTGCCTGACCAATTTGGTGGCCTTCTATGATGGGGCTACAGAACTGATGGACAGGGGTAGAGCAGTTGATGTCATCTACCTGGACTTGTGCAAAGCATTCAACACTGTCCCACATGACATCCTTGTCTCTAAATTGGAGAGACATCAATTTGATGGATGGACCACTGGGTGGATAAAGAACTGGCTGGATGGCCGCACACAGAGTTGTGGTCGATGGCTCAATGTCCAGCTGGAGACCAGTAACGAGTGGTGTCCCTCAGGGATCGGTGTTGGGACCGGTCTTGTTCAACATCTTTGTCGCTGACATGGTGGGACAGTGGGATTGAGTGCGCCCTCAGCAAGTTTGCCGATGACACCGAGCTGTGTGGTTCGGTTGATACGCTGGAGGGAAGGAATGCCATCCAGAGGGACCTTGACACGCTTGTGAGGTGGGCTGATGCCAACCTCATGAAGTTTAACCATGCTGAGTGCAAGGTCCTACACCTGGGTTGGAGCAGTCCCAGGCACAGCTACAGGTTGGGCAGAGAAGAGATTCAGAGCAGCCCAAGGAGAAAGACTTGGGGGTGTTGGTCGGTGAGAAAATGAACATGAGCCGGAAATGTGCACTTGCGGCCCAGAAAGCAACCGTATCCTGGGCTGCATCCAAAGCAGTGTGACCAGCAGGTCGAAGGAGGTGATCCTGCCCCTCTGCTCTGCTCTCCTGAGACCTCACCTGGAGCATTGTGTGCAGTTCTGGTGTCCTCAACATAAAAAGGACATGGAACTGTTGGAACAAGTCCAGAGAAGGCCACGAGGATGATCAGGGGCTGGAGCACCTCCTGTATGAAGATAGGCTGAGAAAGTTGGGGTTGTTCAGGCTGGAGAAGAGAAGGCTGCATGGAGACCTCATAGCAGCCTTCCAGTATCTGAAGGGGACCTATAGGGATGCTGGGGAGGGACTGTTCGTTAGGGACTGTAGTGATAGGACAAGGGGTAATGGGTTCAAACTTAAACAGGGGAAGTTTAGATTGGATCTAAGGAGGAAATTCTTTCCTGTTAGGGTGGTGAGGCACTGGATTGGGTTGCCCAGGGAGGTTGTGAATGCTCCATCCCTGGCAGTGTTCAAGACCAGGTTGGATGAGGCCTTGGGTTACATGGTTTAGTGTGAGGTGTCCCTGCCCATGTCAGGGGGGTTGGAACTTGATGATCTTAAGGTCCTTTCCAACCCTAACTATCCTATGGTTCTAAGATTTTATGAAGTCAAGAAAAAACTGTTGACTCCATGGAAATAGAGTAATGCAGCAGCTAGGGATGACTTGAAAATCGTGGCAAATGGCAAGCATAAAACTTGTAGTACAACAAAGCAGCAGGGGAGCCAGAAAGACTAATTCCCCTTGCTGTGTGTGCTGCCTGATGGGGTAATAAAATAATACATTATTTATGGAGGAAATACTGTGCAAACCTTTTTGAGCAAAGGATTTGCCTGTCAAGTAAGTAAGAAATCCAAAGACAAAGAAA